CCCCACAGCCATGATGGGCTGTAAAGATTGGATGGCAGCCAATCAGAGCTCCTGAATCTGAGCTGTCACTTGTGAGAGCAGTGATTGGCTGGAGTGAGGATGTATTGGCCAGTCAACATCTTGGAATCTGTACTGTCACTTCTGAGGGCTAGAATTGGCCAGGAGGCTGTGTGGTAGCCAATCAGAATCGCGACATCTGTGCTGTTGCTTCCGAGGGTTTTGATTGGCTGGGGAGATGGTGCTTTGGCCAACAGGAAGCCTGGCTTTGGCTTGGCGGGGACTGCTCTAGAATGAGGGGTCCGGGGGTCTAGATCTTGGCAGTGGGACGAAGGCTGCCTTCGCTGCGCAGTCCGGATTGGCGATGGCTGCAGTTGAGGTTCCAAAAGGTTCTGGGTCACATCTGGGGGACGCAGCACACTGGCCTGGGAGGTGGTTCTGGAGCTGGGCCTGTTGCGGTGTTCTAGGGCTGGGACCTGGAGCATGAGCTGCAGTTGTGTTGTCCTTCTAGAGTACCCTGGATGGGTAATGGTGGCACTCCAAAGCAGGGGTGCTTGCCCACCCCCCAGCACCCACAGAGATATGCCATCTGACCCGCAAGGATCCCCACGGGGTCAGAAATTTGGCAATGGGGGAGCTGTGGTACCACTCCCTTGCTGTCAAATCTCTGGACCTTTGGGAAGCCCGGGACCATATATTTTGCATTAAGCATCCAACCCAAAGACCCAATTCCAAAGTCCAGGGGGCTATGCTGGGCCCCTAGGTCCCAATCCTGGTGCACAGGGCAGGGAGAGGGTGATGCCAGGCCCTCAGGGCCTCATCTGATCCACAGACGGGCCCTGCCTCACCCTTCTGTTCCACAGAGTCCAAAGATTGAGCAGTGGTTGGTGGGCCAGAAGGACCCAGGACAGGGGCTGAGACAGGCCAGTTCTAGGACTTGGCTACTGCTGCTTCTCCCTATTGCCCAGCTGTGACACAGTAGAAGCTCCCTGCTGCCCAGAGGCAGTGTGGGCAAAGCTTCCCACTGCCAACCCCCGCACCCCCTTCTTGCTCTGCAAACCTGATGATTCCTTTGGCCAGATCCAATCTGTCGGCTGTTGGTTACCAACCACTGCTCTAGATTGGGGCTCCAGATTTTGGCTGTGGCTTTGCTAGTCTGGCATAGAGTTTCTAGAGCAGGGGTCAGCAAAGTTTTTGGGCAGAACACCAAAAACACCCTCAGCCTCAACTTGTAAGATGTTGGTGTACCAGAGTGGATGGTGGGGGAGCCATGAGGGACCTGATGCTTGTTGTGGCATTGCAGCCACGACCCCTTTCCCACTGTCCACCCTGAGGCCTGTGTGCACCTGCTGCCAGCAACAAGCTGGGCTGGGGCTCTGCAGACTCCAGTACAGCCACTTGCAGCCTCCCAGCTGCCTGTCGCCCACCATGGAGCCCAGGTTACTCACAGCAGGTAGCAGAGAGGCTGAAATTAGCTGCACCAGGGTCTGCAGAGCCCTGGCCCAGCTCATTGCTGCTGGTGGGTGCACACGTGCCTTGAAGCAAATGACAGGGAAGGGGCTGGGGCTGCACTGGCACAACAAGGATCAGGCTCCTTGCAGCTCCCCTGCTGTCTGTCCCGAGGCATGTTTCATAGATAGATGTTAGGGTCGGAAGGGACCTCAATAGATCATTGAGTCCGACCCCCTGCATAAGCAGGA